TGAATGTGATGTTGGAGAGGGCTGCAATTACTTCAGCCAGATTGGTGCAAACCCTGCACTTTCTCCTATATCTGCCACAGATAGTTCTCTCTCTTCATCTCATCGTTTTCATGCCTTCCGTGCCGATGACAGCCAGTGGCCAGAGGCTTTATATTTTTGGGTTGTCAGTCTGTCCATCCTTCCCATTCTTGTGAGCGCAATATCTCTAGAATGCCTTGAGGGAATTTCTTTATATTTGGTGCAAATATTCACTTGGACTCAAGGATGAACTGATTATATGTTGGTGGTCAAAGGTCATGGTGACCTTACAAAGCACATTTCTTCCCTGGTGAAGGTTATATCTCTGGAACGCCGTCAAGTAATCCTTTCACATTTGGCACAAGAATTCACTTGGACACAAGGATAAAAGTACTTGATTTTGGTAACCAAGGATCAAAGGTCAATGTCATGCTGGCCTCACAAAGTATGTTATGGGTTTCTTGAACATGATATCTTAAAGATCAGCTTGAGGGAATGTCATCTAAGTTGGTACATTGGACTCAAAAATGACCTGTTTAGATTTTGGTGCCTGGAGCTTAAAGGTCAACGGCACAGTCACTTGATGTATTAGGACTGCCCTTAGGGAATTTCATTAAATGTGGAACAATTCAGTGAAACTCACAGATTAACTGATTAAATTTCAGTGGTCAAAGGTCACAGTGGTTCAATAAACATGTTTTTGGCCTCTTGAATGTGATACCTCAAGACTGCTTGAGGGAATCTTTTTACCTTTTGATCAGTTATCATTTGAAAACTCAAAGAAAAAGTGACATTTCAGTGGGCAAAGATCACAGTGACCTCATATGAAATACAGCTGAGGCATACAACCACAGTGCAGTAATTCTACTTCTTTATTCCCCTCCTATCCTCCCCGTCTTCCTGCTTTTTATTGTTCCCCTCCGGTGCTTACAGACCCACAAGAGCATTAAACTGTACCATGCAGTATAGCTGTATGTGTGGTGATTTAGTGAAGTGCATGAAGATGCCAAGGCTTGTTTACTTTATCAATCACAGCTCATAATTTTCTTAGGTCAGAGACTAAGCCTGACAGCACTACAAGGACCTAAGAAATAAGATGATGAACCTGAGAGCAGTTCAGGTTTCCAGCTCCTCTTTAAAAAGAACATTTTGAATTTTCTCCAGTTGCTCATTGGGTGGCAACATGATCACCAGAAGTCTATCAGTGGTTAAATCTGCCTATAATTGAACAGGGTGACGTAGTTTCTCAAGAAACAATGAAATTAGTAGTTGAGATTTTGGATCAGGCAATGGGCTGTTACATGTTTGGGCCTGTGCAAACTGATTCTAAATACACAGTGGATATTAAAAAAAAAACATACAAAACATAACATAGTGCTTTGATCTCAAAAAAATCTGTGAAGCCAATGTTTTTTGATAAAGCTGTTCCCCTTCCCTGAAATCATTCATAGCTTGATTTGCCTCTTCCTATAAAACGTAAATCGAGGCGTATCAGACAAACACTTTCACACTAATCACAATTCTTTTATATTGTGATGAATCACACCACTCTTAACACACCTTTCAAATGTGACACCTACCTGATTGTTAAAAGAACGTCATGTATGTGTATGTTTATAATAAATAGGGGGAGATTTTCCCCACAGTCATTGTCTTATACTTTGAAGCATCACTCTTACTGTGCCCTCAATGCAAAGACAGAGCAGCAGCCTCTCTGTGCATGTGGGCTAATGTATTACTGAGATGTGATTTTATAAGTTTGTGAGTTGGCAGTGATGTGCCTCTGTGAATGGCATTATATAGTCAGTCAGTGTGTTTCATGTGTTTCTCTCAGTGGCTGCACTTTACAACAGCAGCACCTACAGTGATTCCCTACCCCTGAGAGCCCTGACTCATTGTAACGAAAGCCATTCGGTGTAATTGGAGTCTTATCAAACAGAGACTCTAACAATCTGTGTACCCAACTTTAACAACATGGGGCGGTGTACTTTTCTCACGTTGTGGTGTTTTAGAAGGGAAGGGAAAACGCCTCATTTAAAATTTAAAAAAACACTTGTAATGATTGAATTGCTTCTGACCCTCTTATCTGTCAGCACCAGATTTACTGCATTTACACTCTGAACTGTAGTCCCTCAATGGGGGTTTGTGGCTAGCTTTGGTTTAATGATAGTTGCACAAAAAGAGATCATGTACGTTGTTGTTAGTCACATATCTCTGAGGAAACCTTTATCCTCCTTTGTAGCCATTTATGAAGAGTACCAAAGCTAAGCTATAATTGACCAATTTTTCATTTGTTGTAGATAATAAACCAAGTTGAAGTATTTGATTCCCTCTGGTGTAAATGTATTGCATTACCTTCAAGAGGCTGTTATATTGGGCCAAGTTGTAATAGCCCTCATGCCAGTGTAAAAAATCTATTTAATGTCCTAGAGAAGTAGTCTATCTTCTGTTTCTGTGCTTCCATGCCAGCAACAGCCAGTGGATAGGGGTATTTGTTCCATCCATTTGTCCATCCCACCCTTGTGAACACTTTATCTCAAGAGCACCTCCAGGGAATCCTTTCAAATTTGGTACAAAAGTTGACTTGGACTCACAAATGATCTGGTTAGAATTTGGTGTTTAAAAGTCAAAGCCACTGTGACCTTACTAACATGTTTTTGGTCTTGAGTACGTAATATGTTAGGAATCCCCTCAGGGAATTTTTTGGTATAAATGTTCACTTGAACTCAGAGATGAGCTGGTTAAAATTTAATGGTCAGAAGTCAAGGTGACGGTGGCCTCACAAAACATATTTTTGGACTTCAAGTCCCCCTTTAGGAAATGTCCTCAAGTTTTGACCAGTTATTTCTTGGACCCAATGATAAACTGATTAGATTTCAGTGGTCAAAGATCACATTGACATCTTATAATATTGAATGCAAAAGATCAGGAACACTTGGAGGGGTCAAAACTGCTCCGGTTGCCAGAAGCATTCAACTGCAGGGTGGCAATTCTAGTTTATCTGTGCCTCATACATGTCACTGTCGCAATATAAAATAGTCGCACATGATGTATCTGGAATGGCATTGATATTAATACTGAACAAGATTTGTCATGTTTTCCCTCTTGATTACTTACACAGTTGCTTAATGCATAGAAAGGTCTTTGAAGTTCCAGGGATAAAAGCAATCAACTCCTTTTTGTATAAATGATATATTAAGTGGTCAGAGGAAAGAAAAAATATTGGCATGAATATAACATATTCAATTAAATTGCATGGTAAAATAGCCGTGTAATAGAAATCCAAGACCATTTGTGGTTTGATTTGAACCTTTGTTCAGCAAATACACCTGTGAGATCGAAATGAATCTGAAAAGTCTGCTGCCAGATTTGAGCTACAGAAGCTTCAGTTTGACCTCACTGCTCCATAAATCTCTGGTAAGAAGTCTTTTTGTGACAGTGAATGATGTTGATTGTAATCAGATAATAACTCTAAATCTGTCTCTGTCTTGTTTGTTGGACTGTCTGTCACTGTCCCATCAATAGAAACATTGTTCAGGCTCTCTGCAAAATCCGAGAATTGAGCGGTTTCTGCCTGACAACGGCCTTTTGCATGCGGAAGGCCCCAGAATAAAGTCACACTCACAGAGGGAGGTGTGGAACCACACAAACACATGGGCACACAGTTTAATCACACACTGGCAGACAGACGGCCCACATTGTTTGTCTGTAACCTTCAAGCGTTTGTTCCCAAAGAGGCGGAGAAGGTCAGGCTTCGTGGTCTGTGACATAACAAGTCACTGCTGACTGTGATCTTCCCTGTTTGTGCCACGTTTGTAAATTCCAGTCCGTCAATGATGGAGGTTAATTTGATGGTGCTGAAAAGGAGCAAATGAAACATAGATTTATTAATCAGAGGGAAATAAGTCTTCCAATGTCACACAGGACATGTGAGCATGAAAAGGTACAGATGAAAGTGGACATAAACCACACATGTTCTTCTGAGGATGTCTGATCACAGACCCACAAACATTTTACTTTGCATGACCATCCCTGGGTCAACGAACTTAAGTCGCCCTTCTGTTTGAATATGTCATTTCAGGTTTCCTAAAGACATATTATCTCATTAAGAATAGATAATGTTGGAGCTTATGTGAAGTATAATTTACATAAAAGACAAAGGTCCTTGAGTGCACAGCAGCACCACCATGAGGACAGACTTTGTTTGTTGTATGACCTGATCAGAAATTGATTTGTACTTTTTGAATTTGTGTTTGCTCCACATATTAAGATGGAACTTACTGTCTGTTGTACTGTGGGAGTGTTTCTTTGCTTGAGAGATCAATTTTTCTTCATTGTGGAACTTTTGTCACAATGTTAAATAACCTAAAGTTTGACCTTCAACTAGAGCTGGACTGATTTTTGAGGACCGATGCTGATACCAATATAAGGGAGTATAAACCTTCCGATATAGACCGATACTATTGTTATTAAAAATTGTCATTGCCATTATCAAACCCATATTTTCACCGTTTGACCTCAAACTTTATTTTAAAATATAGATAACATATCGAAATGTACATGCATGACTTTCTACATTGTTTATTCTGTAAAATCAACATTTTCATATTCGTACATAACATACACAAATATCTCTGTCTGATTTTTATTGTGCAACTAATTCATCAGTTTTGGTCTACCTTCCACAGAGATTATTGAAAATAATCAATCAAACCCTCTTGACTCAACACACTGGATAGTCTCTTATCTAAAAAGATAAAAATCTCTTTTCTCTGCGTTTGGAGGACCCCCCCCCACAGAACCCCCTGATTAAACAACTGCCTGATCAACATGAGGGCTCTTGTTATCAATGAACCTCATCACAAACAGCAGGAATGAGGATGGAATGGGTTCAGGACTCAGGCCACGAACAGGTTAAAAGGAGGGAGGTCATTGGTGGTGCCTGGTCAGACACTGATAGGTCACTGCTCAGTGGTCTGCTCTCTGAGCCTCTCATCCGTGAAGTGACGGGTCCCCGCCTCCGAGATGCACTGCTTTGAGTGTGTTATTCCGCCGGGCACAACAAGCCTCCACCGCTGCACCGGATCTATTTGTTTCTAAACCTGTCAGCATGGATGGACACTGTGCGTAAAGTTAGCCTCCGGGTTCGGCTGCGTGTGAGTCCCGCGGTGGGACAAGTTTGTGGAAGTTGTGGAGGAGACGAGTCGAAGGTAAAAAACGCACAAACCACGAGGAAACGTGTCACGGTGTTTTGTATTCCCGGGGTTCGTCTGTGTTGGAGCTGACTTTGCTGCATGTGTTTGGCGTCGTAGGATCAAAACGCACAAACTAAAACAACGTCGTCATTTGAGTGCGTGAACAGAGAGTTTAATAAACTCGAGTCACTATTCATGTGCTGAGATTGATTGAATGTATCGATTAAGCAGCTGCTGAGTACACAGTGTATTGATTAGTGACAAGAAACAGCAGCACGGTGTGAGAGGCTGCCTGTCTGAGGCAGGTGCTGCTGCTACCGTGTGTGTGCACCGGTAAACTTCAGACCACAACACATGCAGGCTGAAACATACACATAACATACATGTACCAGTGAGACCACCTTGGTAAGAGTCCATTTTAACGTCTGGTAGAAATGACGCCTCCAGAAATTCAATATCTACCAGGGAAGTTTTTTTTTACCTCAATTGTTTTTAAATGCAGATTTTATTGTAGTTTTATGATTATACAGACATTTACTGTATACTATGATTGCTCATGAAAATTATATTTGATATAAAACTTTTTACATCAGTCAATAATTAATGACAAATCACTATTATTATTATTTTTTTGAAGTTTAATGAGATTGTGGTTTAAAACTCTTCTTCATTAGCAGAGAATGACACTTGATAAACAGCAGTCTCTCCTCACTGTGCATAAACATAATATTGATATATATTGAACCGTTGTTATATTTCTATTGATGAAAATGATATTATAATTGACATTGTTTTATTGCTCAGCTCTTCTCTTGTTTCACTGACAAACTTGCGAGTCCTCAACACATTTGTAGTCATGCTGAGGACTAAAGAGGAATAAAGGTTGATCTGTCTGCTGTAAAATGTTGTAGAAGTATCAAGTACCCTTCCTGCTTTGTAGACGTGATCACTGCTCCGTCAGTTTTTGTAATCTCCTTATCTGCTTTGTGCTATTTGTTCCTGACGTTGTCATGTTTCCTGTGCACCACCTTGTCTGTAGCCTCCTGTAGAAGGTTGCTGTTGTGAGGATAAGGTTGATTTCAATTAAGCCCATAGCTTTCAGTTTTGTTTTTACATGCTTTACTATGAGTAGAGGAAGGCGGCCTATATGTGACCTCCACATCACCTCTGTATTGCTGGGGACTGGTGGTCATGGTTGGCATAAGAAAACAAAACAATGTAATGTCTATGTGAACACAGTTTTGGCAGGAATCGCTAAAGACATACATTTTTTATTGGATGGTTTTATAATGGATATAACTATCCAGCTGTTTAAAGGGGCCATCTGCTGAGTTATATGCATGCAGCACAGCATGTGTGGAGAAAGGGTCTTCAGCTGTACCCAAGCTGAATCTGCAGTTTGTCCCTGCAGGATAGTTCATTTGTATGTTTGTGCACACACACATACATATACATACTATATGTTTATGTGCAACTTGTGGTTAACGTTGTGAGGCATGATGACCTGAATTTGTTCTTTCTGATATTTTCCTTTGATGCAGCAAGAAGGTGTAAGTGATATTTTGAGCTATATGACAAAGTGTAAAAATAAGCCTATTAATGGAGCAGTTTCACTTCTTTAAAAGTGCACCAGATTACACTTGACACTTGGCCATCTGAACCAAACACGAATGAAAGAGCACTGTCTCCATTCTTACTAATCCCAACCCTAACCCAGCTCGTAGCGTGGGATTTGTTTCATGTAGCACGTAAAAATTGGAAACCTTTTAGGAAATTACTTATTTATGTAAATCACATTCAGGATTAAAACTGTTTCTTACTCTATCGGCAAGCAGTTACAGTTTTTGAAGGTTCATAACCAACTCTGATTGCAGCTCTAAAGTCTACATATTGCAAATACTCTTTTCACGTCCTCATATGAGCTTCACCTCATGAATCTACTGCTGTCCTGGAGTTTTATTTGCTGTGAAAAGGCCTTTAGCTCAGCACAACAACAACATGCTCCTAACAAGAGCTGTTTGTACACAAAACACTTTGTGGCTGTTGCTGTGGCCAGCTCTGTCCAACTGAATGAGACCACTTTGAATGCATCTCACAGACCGATGTCTCCCGGTTTCCGTCAGCCCCTCTCCTCTCAGCTGTTTGTGACAGTCAGGCCTGGGAAAATGCCTCTTAACTCCACAGGAAATTGCTGTTGTTGAACAGACCGGACCGTTGCTTGCAGTTGTCTCAGTTGTTACTGTAAATCAATTTTTTTATGTTCTAAAGTTTTTTTTTAACATACACTGTGAAATTCTTTTGTTTGTGCTCGCTCATGATGTAAGTCATTGTTCTCCTGTGTTTTCTGGCTTTGTCCTGGTGATAGACCTCTAATAAAGTACGTTCTGAACTTTTTTTTATCTTGGCTTAAAACCTTTTAAATACCATAGATATGTGCTAGAACAGTCTCTCCAGCTCTGGAGTCTTGTTTCTTCTTTTGAAATCTGTGTGATTTTGACATGGTTTTCCTGTGTATTGAAATTTTTCAAGAAACGTTGTAAATCAGTTTAAATGCCCTTTTTCAACTCCAAAATGTTGTGGCAATCATTGCTGACGGGCTTATTAGGGGCTTCCAACCCTCAGTTTGAACACGTGACAAAGTAAATACAGTCATTCATGAATTAAGTTACGGTTATAATGAACATTTTCATCATGAAACTGTGCCCTTCAGGGAATCCTGCATTAATTATCAAATTATGTGAAGTTCACCCTGTGAAGATGAGTTGTGAGCACAGATCTAAAAACTTGCTCATGGTGTGACAGGAGGATCATTATATCTGCTGGAGCTCTAAAATCTACAGCGCCTGCTGATATCTCTCATTTCAGAAAAAAGAAACTGGTGCATCACTTTGTTGGTATGATAGTAGATTTTAGCAGCAGCTTCTAAAGAAAAAACGATTCTGCCAATTATTTGTAGAAATACACAGTGTAGATTACATCACATCAGAGTTTTTGGCTGCTTGTACAGCAACATAAACATCACTGACATTAGCGATACCAAAAGTGACAGTAGAGTATGACAGACCCAAATGGAGTGCGTCAGCAGCATTTCTTCTACTGACATCAGTTAATGGCTCCTAATTACTGTCTTAAAATAATAAAACATTGTCAGAACTAATTCACACAGAGTTTGCTGTCACAAAGATTAAAACACCACCAAGGCTTCTATTGAAAATCCAGTTTGATTTCATTTATTAAGGCTGATATAGATCAGATGCTGCAGAATGAGATCAGACCCTCTCAAAACTAAAGTTGTTTATATGGTACACGTCACCATTTTACTTGTGTATTACCAGTGTGAAATATTTGTTGCTATTTTCAGTAGCTCTGGCTAATGCTACACTACCAGAAAACTTTTCTTCATAGCCGCTAAAAACAGTACTTGACCGTGGCAGTACAGCGCAACTGCTAATTTGAGGCAGCGAAGAAGAAGGGATCTCTGGGAAAAGCTAATTGTAGTTTTATGTGGGTGAAGCTAATATACTTTAAAGAAATGGTATCTGATCAGAATATAGTTTTGGTACTTGCCAATGCTCGACCGGGAGTTTTCGGCAGAATTTGAGGCATTTCCGATGTTGGTATTCATATTGCAGCATCTCTAAGTATGTAGCATTTTTCATCTCAGATCTTTTTGCCTCTTCAGATCAGCCCTTCATTCACTGCATTCAATGCACTTTTGAAACCAACTACTCATTCAGTCTGATTTTTTTTAACTCTTGGTTCCTTAAATTATTTTCATCCTAGTTGTGAGAGTGAAACAGTTAGTGTGTGTGTTCAACACAGTTTCCCATAATACCATATAGACTACTATGTTCTCCTTCACCAAAGAGCTGTGGCTGTTTCCATAGTGTAACAGTGCTATTTTTAGAAGTGTATCTAAATAAGAGATGAAAGCTCGGGTTTTCATCAGTACAGCAAGTCTTCATAGACATGGACAAAAGAGAAGGAGGACGGAGCAGCCAAGGTTATGATGAGGATTGTGGGACACAGGATTGGCTGCCTGCTCTGATTGATAAGGATTTACTCTGACCATTACCAGCCAACACTTTTTTTAAATTAACTTTATGTTATAGTTTGTGAATATAGTCAAAGAAACATTGAGGAAGTCCTGTGCCTTGTTGCTTTGCAGCGATGAATGTAACCTTACCTAAGTAATAAATGACCTGAATACAACCTTACTGTATTTAGGCCATATTTACAATGATGCCATTTTACCATAAATAACTTAACTGGCTGGTGAGCAGCGCAGCAGCAGAGCTGGAAGAAAGAGAGTGGTGTGTTTTCAAGCCAGTCATTTATGGCACAATGCGTTCCTTCAGTCGTCTTTACAGCGAGTCGTGTGCACTCGGATGCCAGTCAGACTGGAGCTCTAGTAAGATTTACACTGTAGATTAGCCCAGGAAAGTAAAAAGATGAATTGAGGTGAATCCTGTCACATGAGCAGATTTCATAAACTTGTCATGACTTCACGGTGAATGTATGCATTTGTGCATCAATACTGTAGCTATGTTTTATGTGGGGAGAATGAACAATACGTATACAGCACATCAAAAGCATCATACCTCTGAGATAAAAGTTACACATGGTGTAAATGTTTTATGTAGTATTATTATTTCATCATAATTGTCTCACTACTGTTGTTAGCTAAAGGGGTCTGGCATTTTTTCATACAGTGTATGCAGTACACACATTAAGTATCACTCCGTCTGTAAAAGTCTCTGATGTGTTTATCTGTTCACATATAATAACCACTTACAAATTACATAATGTATTTTATGGTAATGTGCTTTAAAAACAAAGAAATCTTTCAGCCGTGCTTTTATTTGTGTGTTAAACTTGAGTATGTATGGGACAAATGGTTGCCTTTGGCAATTTGTGTCTTTTGCCGGCCGGTCATAGACCTTGTGACTGATGCAGTGATATAAGCACTATGCTTCAGTTTACTAGCAGCCCTCTGTCGAGTACTCAAATTCTTT